CCAACCAAAGTCCTTGTATTGGAGAACACATTTGCTTCATTCTGATCTAGAGGATATGCTATCTTCGAATATGTATCTGACCTTCGTGTTCTGTGAGAAGTTTTATTGCTGCTGTTTCTTTGAGGACAAGAAAAACGTCGACTAGTTTCATGGTTTGAGCTATCAAGAGTGATTTCGTCGATTATAGGACCAGTGATCTCAATGTCTCCTTTAAAACTCAGGGGATTTTTAGAGTGCCTGTTGCTTCCATGGATGAAATCTTTGGTATTTGAATTCTTAAGATTGCCCAACTTTGTTCTCTGATTACCTTTTTGCTGCCTAATAGTGTTTGGATCATGAACATGATTTGGGTGTGGCTTGCACTGAAGGGTCTTCTTGAGAGAAAGCCAAGCCTCAAACATTCTGTCTCTTTTTTCGTTATGCTCTTAAAAGGATCGACACTCAAAAGGCTTTGGGAGAAGAAATGTGTAGAATATTTCCACGTACCAGTAACCATTCCAATTCCAAAGGAAAGAAAACAATCAAGGAATCTTGTCCCTCAACTACACAGTTCCTTCGTATGCAAGCTGTTCTTTCCTTTTCAGTAGACCTTTAACACAGAAATATTTCATGTGCAACTCAATATCCATTATAACGATTTCAGTAATTGAATTGCCATAAACATGGTAGTTTGATTTTGAAGCCTTATAATAACTTGAGAATCTCCATTTATTATTCATGATTCAAGCAATCTCCGACAAATTTATATCATTTAAGGTTATCCGATCTTTGAACAATCAACGGACGAGGAAGCACTAACAGGGATCACCACCATCCAATCATTTTTTATTTCAAATAAAATATTGCTCGTGGAATTGAATTTATCAACAAGGAAATATAAGCAGGTGACGACGTCATATAATAAAATAAACAACTTCATATGGTGCTTTCAGAACTCTTAAGAAATTTATCAACAGTTTTATCTCAAAAGTCAGTAATCTGTACATGATCAGCTTCACGCAAACAGGTTGAATTCTTGGGACATTTTCTTCTTTAATTAATTATTTGTGTTACAATGATTAGGACTGGTTAATTTAGTCTTTCAATTATTATAAATTTATAAGCAATCACAGGAGCTCTTGGAGATGTCCATATTCTAGATTGTCTTTGGTTTCATCAGTATTCAATGATTTCTAGCTTTGCAAATCCAAATTATTCTTTGTAATATTGTTAGTATATGTTGGTAATTTATAAAAAAACTGAATTCCTTTAATAGAGAACAAAAGTGAACATAACAGACAAAAAATATTGAAGAAAAATAACGAAAACTTACTTCATTAAATCAGAAAATATTACATTTATTAAACTTTTTTAAAAAAATAACCATTCACTAACAATGAATTCCTAAAAATAAACTATTAAATAAAATATATGAATAAAAGATAACAAAGATTTCTTAAAATTAAAAAAACAATAATAATTAAAAAATAAAATAAAACAAAATTAAAAAGCGGATATGAAGATTTTTTAACATTATATAATATTATAATAACTTCAAGAACCCTTATTCATCCTTGCAAGGTTTCTGAATTTAGATTTTTCATTTCTCTTGAATGTTCAACCTTTTACCTCCCATTTGAAAAGCTAAATGAAAGGGAAAGATCCTACACAAAAATAAGTTACGTCCACTGTGTGAACTAAAAAAATGGACTAAAATGGATGAAAAATGTGAACTTAAGAAAATGGTATTAGAATAAAATGTTATTTGCTTGAAGTAGACGTGGATAAAATCACCGGGGAAATTTTCTTTTAGGGAAGAAGTAAAGAATCTTTTTACTTTTAATACATTAAATAAATAATTGATACATAAATATTTTTAAAAGTGATCTTCTCTTGTAAGTCTAGTCTAGACCATAATGTAAGTGATATCCGGAATTATAAGAAAAAAAGAGTTTGTGATTTGCTAATCAGGACATTGAGACAGGTCCAACACAGTGCATTCAAAGATGATTTGAAATCAATTGTTTTGATCTTTTTTTAGGCAAAACTTGTTTCAAAATCAGGCCTTTTCCCCTATAAATCACATTACTTTCATGTTTAAGTTGAACAATCTTTTTCAGAGTTTAGTTGCATTAATTACCTTTTATCAAAACTATTGCCACAGGAAGAAGATATATATCATAAGGAAGGAAATTAAAAAAACCTAGTTTTGAAGTAAAAGTAGAGAGGTTCGTTTGGAATACTTGTTGGCTGCTTTCCTTGCCCCCAATGGAACGAATCATAGAAAGGGAAAGACAAATTAAACGAAGAATAAAGTAAATTGTAATGAAAAATTGGCAGCTTTCATCTCACGAATCACGATCACACTTAATATTACATAGTTTTTTTGGCAGACATATGTATCATTCACTAATGACAATTATGTTTAAATCAGGTAAGCTCCCTATATATATAACGAATTTCGTCTGATTATTTAATGCAATTGCATATTTAGAACTTCAACTTAAAACTACTGGTTAAACTTGAACAATTTAATGTATGATCTCATGTATGTATAAATAGTGTAGTGCCATAAAATATGCACAGCCCTTCTTCATCCTCTTCTCTAAAGCTTCTACTGTATTAGGGAATCATGACCAAAAACTATGGCTTCCTTATCTGCATACTTGTCATGGTCTTGGATGTTGTTGCTGGCATACTTGGAATTGAGGCAGAAATAGCTCAAAACAAGGTACTATAATTAGAAAGACTCTTCTGCTTCATAAATGTTGAGAACACTTAAGGGTTTAACACGACTGTCTGATCCTTTTGGGATGAATGAACAGGAGAAGCACATGAAGGTGTGGATATTTGAGTGTAGGTACCCAAGCTATCATGCTTTCAAGCTAGGTTTGGCAGCTGCCACTCTCTTGGCACTTGCCCATGTAATTGCTCACTTGCTTGGTGGCTGCATCTGTGTTTCGTCCAAACAACAATATCGATTAGCTTCTGCAAACAGGCAATTAGCAGTGGCTTTTCTCATTTTCTCTTGGTAAGTCTTTTACTTTTAATATCCCTAAATCAAATCCCTTTTTGTTATAGAATTCACATATTTTGGAGTTAATACTTTGCAGGATTGTGGTTGCTGTTGGGATGTCGATGCTGATCATAGGCACATTAGCAAACTCAAGATCAAGAAAATCTTGTGCGATGTTCAGCCGCCGGTTTCTATCCATAGGAGGCATCATGTGTTTCATCCATGGATTGTTCACTGTTCCCTATTACGTTTCTGCAACAGCCACCAGAAGGGAGGAAGAAAAGATGAAAGAAAATGCCAGCCAAAGCGTACGACGCACTTGATCATCTTTTGTTACCAAACCAGAAGCGATTATACCTAGTTTTCTACCAAGTGTACTTTTATTTTATTTCATTTTTTTGTGTGTTTCACTGATTACACAAATTGCTTGATTTTCAACGGGTGCATAAACAATTGTATGATTAATAATATCACTGCAAATGCACAACAAAGTGAAGGAAATGCATAATTTGAGAGTGAGAGAGAAGTAAATTTCTCTGATTTTACCTAATAAAACACCATATCTCTTTTCCATGCTAAAGTAAAAGCGCAGCATTTACGACCGAACTCATAAAATCAGATTTAATAAGAGTAAAAAAAGATGGATAGAAATGTTAGGCTTTGAAAATATTCATGGAACCTTTCTCTCAAATTCATCCTTCAGTCCAAACACAAGCTAAATATATTCTTTGCTAAGTTTAGAAGAAAAATGTATATAATACAATTTTTGTTATAATTTTCAGGGTAGATTAATTAGTTTATTCAAAATTAGTTGTAAATTTAATACCTACTTCTTAAGTTTCTTTGTTTATATATAACTAAGGAAACAAGACTAAGATGAATTTGATGCCATCTTCATCTTCTAACTAAAAATTCTTCTTCCTTCTCATCATGTATTATATTAAAGGGATAATAAAATTTTGTGTCTCATCTCCATTCTCATTAAAAATCACGTTTGTGTAATTGTCTATTTATTATATCAAATATTAATTAAATCATTTTTTTAAAAATGTCTTTAGTTTATCAATAAAAAAATTAATCATATAAATATTAAATAAGAATGTACAAAGAATTATAAAAAATAATAATAAAATTGGATTAATATATTAAATATATTCTGAAAATTTAAAATAGAAACATAGAGAAAGACAAACCTATTTGAAAAACTGGAGGAATATCTACATTTTTTTTTCTTAAATGAAGCCAAAATTAGATGAGAGGGACTAATAAATAATAACTGAGGCAGGAATAAATTTTGTCTCCTCACCCCAAGTGTTTCTGAATACATATTAACTTATAAAATAAATCACACTAACACTCCTAACATTTTTCAAATTAAACAAAGATTTCAGTTTTTCTTTTTAATTCTGCACAAGTTTTGTTTTTTTAATATATACATACATATACACATGAATATACATATATATATATATATATATATTGGTATTCGTTTAGAGAAAAGAGACACGACAGCCTCTATACTTTTTTAAAGATGAAAAATGGAAATAAATAATTGGTTTGTCGAATAGATGGAAAGAAGAATATATGGGTGATTAAATAATGAAGGATGTGAAAGGTATAATATTTTAGATAACAAAATAAATGACGATGAATATAAGGAAGTAAAGAAATAGAAAACCAAAAACTAAATAGATAAGAGTATTTGTATTTATTTACAGGAAGATCAATGAATAAAAAAATAAAGAAATGAGAGGTGGTTGTGTCATCATGCAATGGGTGGTCTCATTTCGCAGAGGCTTCCCGGGAGCGCTAAAAGTTGTGGCTATGAGTTTCTTTGATTAGTTTGTCGTACGAATTTTCCACGCAAGTCATTCAAACCCCAACGTTTCTTTCTCAGCAGAGGCGCCACCAACAGCAAGATAGAGACTTTGGACTTTTCTTCTCACCCTATTTATCACTCTTCTCCTCTTCACTTCACCAATTCATTCTTTCTGTCTCGGTAAGCTTTTCCTCCTCTCACTTCTTTCCTTTCGTAACCTTACTACCCCATACTCATATCACTTTACACGCTTCTTTATTGCTTTCAACTGCAGTTTTCTTCCTTCATTTCATCCCTTCTTAGTTACCACATCTTCAATTCAACTGTACTTTCCAATCGTGTTTGTAAAAATACTTCTTTTTTCTTTTCAAAAACTCCCTTTATGACTGTAAAATTCCAATTTATCCGTCTGAAGCCTGGAGATCTTATAGTCTACTGCCTCCATGACAGGCACTAACATGTATGTCTTTCCCAAATTTTTATGTCATCGTTTTTTGGTTTGTGAAATTGAATTTGTTGCATATGAGGTTAACATGTAGATCATTCAGCATTTATTTTTTTAATTTAATTTTTTATTTGTCCTCATTTTCTTTAGTTATTACGTTTTATTCTTGGTGTGAGAGGTTGAAAAATAGAACTGTTGAAGTAAATTAATGGGCTCAGTTGCAATAACATTTTAAGGATGAAATTTCATTTTAAGAAAATGGAGAAATGTTAGTTAAAGGATGTTTTTGAGCGTAAGTGGAAGAATGAGAAGGTAATATAGAATATGGCCTTTATTGTTGTCATGGTGTTCTGCCAACATTTTGCAGAAGTTAACTTTTCTACGTAGTTGGTGTTTTGATCATGGAGAAATCCACATTAAGCTCGATTGAATTCCATTTTTGTCAGAAAGTAAAGGTCTATGTTGGTGCAGGAGGAGTTCCTAACATGACTACTGTACCTACTGCTGATCTAACTGATGCAAATACAACACATGTAGCGAATGGTGATTTGAGGGTGCTACATCCGGTGTTCAAGGTTTATGGTCAGGTCACGTCGTTCTCTGGTCCCATTGTAACTGTGAAGGTGTTTGAGGACAACGTGTTGGTGAGGGAACTTCTTGAGACCAAAGGGGGAGGAAGAGTATTGGTCGTTGATGGAGGGGGAAGCTTGAGGTGTGCTTTGCTGGGAGGGAATTTGGCACAGATAGCACATAGCCATGGGTGGGCTGGAATTGTGGTGAATGGATGCGTTAGAGATGTGGATGAGATCAATGCATGTGGCATTGGCGTCAGAGCCTTGGCTTCTAATCCACTCAAATCCAACAAAAAAGGCACTGGGGAAAAGAATGTCCCTGTTTACGTTGGGGGAACATTTATTCGGGAAGGAGAATGGTTGTATGCAGACAATGACGGCATCCTCATATCAAGATTTGAGTTGTCAAACTAAAAAGTTAGTTAAGTTTTGTTGCCATTGGGATGCTTTATCAGATTTGAAGTCATGGTAAGTTTGATTTAATTTGTGATGGTAAATGGAAATGCTGTGTGGAAAGAATAAAACTTAATTTATTGCGTGAACTAAGTGTCTGTTTCTCTGTTAATTGTTTGGAGTTAGGGGATTCATATAGAAGTATGTCAATGGTTTTGACCAAACTTTCTAACCCAAGTATACACAGGATATCATCACATAATCAAACTAAAAACAAATTAGTTTATAAAGATTTCTTCGGATTGTGAACTTTCTTACTGTTCGAATGGTGGAAAAAGTATTACTTCGGAAAAAAATAGGAGCAGAATCATCCTTCGATATCTAAACAGGCTGAGTTCAATAGTATGTGTAAATAATACCATTACTCTCAATGAAACAGCAACTGCTATTTCAAATTACAACGATAGAACACTTAATCTAAACGTTATGAATCTTTCTCTATTTTCTGGCAGATGTTGCTGGCTAAGGAGAATGCCCTTCAAATGCTTTTGCATTGTATCCATAATAAATTCTAACCGTTTTTTTGCTCATAAAGAGATCTTTCATCCTCTATTGGTGATTCAAGAATTTGAACAGATAAACTCAGTCCAACACTAAGGAGGCTACTGGTCGTTTTATAAAGGGCTCACAAGGAAGAGAGATAAAACCTGATACCACACAACCACCACTTCAAAATCTGATAGAAGTCATCCCTTTTAACCTTCGATTGGTCTGTCCATAGCAGCCTGCAACTCTACCCACAACCTTCTTAAGGATGGCAATGAAATTTAAATCTTCATACAACCTATCCAAACCAATCCCCAATGGTCCAATCTTAGTGGGATTTAAGGCAGCCCTCCATATAATCAAACCCAGAGTGCTAAATTTATATAGTGTAACTAAGACGTTGAATTAAAAAAATAATAATATTTTCTTGATTTAATCTATGAAAGGCAATACATAAATTCAGACAGCAGCTCATTGCTAAAAAGAAAATTTCTCTAAGGACGGACGGAAGTGACGATATTGAAATAAAACGCTTGTCTACCTCTTTCAACAACCTGTTAAAACACCTATTCAAAAAGGGTTGCGCTTAAAGAGATAAAAGGGTTTTGAATTCTTGTTCTGGAGTCCCCGATATTGAATAAGAAAGTTGGGAAACAGCTAAATGCTAAGAGAAATAACACATGAACCAAACTCACACACCGATCAGTTCTGAAAGAGTACTTCATGCAAATTTCTAAAATCATACTGAAGATTTTCCCAACAAAGAATGTAATGTTAGCAGGAAACGATCATACTCCTGCACTCATTACGGAAACAACTCTGCACTTTAGAGACATTAAGGAAACAGCTCTGCACTTAGAGACAACTCTTCAACATCAGTAGCCATTAAAATATTAGAAATTTACAAGTTAGGACAAGTTTTCTGGGTTGCTAGCTTTTCGATTGAAGATTGTAATTATTAATAATAGAATTGTACATGCTCAACTCAAAATAACGATGCTCGGCTGCTGTAATAAGATTTTCACTTTGATAAAAACATTATCACAGAAGGAGGATTGTCCTTATCATCCCAATGGAATTTAAAAAACAGAATTCATCATTACAGAGGAAATAACATTACCATAATAGGCCTATAATAAATCCCTTGATTCAAACTAATAAATCCTTGATTCCAACTAATGAATCGATGACCAACATGGAAAATACATAACAACCACAACAGGGAGAACAGTCTCTTAACGCAAAATGAACATCATGTCTTGAGCCACATTGGCACGTCACCAACAGGAATAAAAAAGATAATATCATAGTCAATCCACAAATACTTATGAATTTAGAGTAGACTAAACACCCAAAAGATCATACTACCATAAAAGATCCGTTTGAAAATAAACTCTGTTAAACACGAGAAACGATTGTCACAAAATATGCAAAGAACTTTAGAAGAACACTTTCATATAGCCAATAACTAAACAACATACTATACTACCGAATCAAGACTATACCATAGTCACAAAATTATAATGCGTAGGAGATAGATCCTCAGAACATGTGACACAGTACCAAAAACAGACAGCAAACAACATTGAGAATCCTAATGGTTGGACGACCGAAGTGCCTCAACTATCAATTTAGTTTGCTCCCCAATCAGTTCTGAGCGATTAGCAAAAAGTTCCAATTCAGTACGTTGTAATTTCTTCCACTTTGCCCTCAACTCTGTCCTCTTCGATTCACCAATCAATTCCAACCCCTTCTTCACATCCTCCTCGTCCAACCCACAAACACCCAGACCCTCTTTAAAGTGGGACAATGCATGCAAAAACATACTCACTTCACAATTAACAGTCTTTTGATCGATATGCATCTTTTCAGATTCCTTGAACTCCATGCGCGTCGCTGGCACCGTCTCCTGTTTCGGTTCAGGTTTAGTTTTCTTGGCAGAAGCCACATTCCTGCTACCGGTTTCCTTCTTCTTCGGACTCTTAGCAGCATTCCCGTTAGCCTTGGGCTTTTCCACTGCCCCATTGGCCACTCCACCATCTTGCTCACTTCCCCAAACCTTTTTCGACAATTCAAACGTTTTCTGATCGTGCGGCTTTGCAAATATAAGGCCATCAGCGCTATTCCCTCTCACTGCAGCGATCTCATACTTCTTCTTTAGTCTCCGAGCCTTCTCCTTCAGCTGGTTGCTGGTAACTTCCACATGCAGCGACTTCTTCAAGAAATCATGGAAAGCATTGCCACCCGCAAACTTAAGAGGGTCGTTCCCTGTTTTGGAGGTGAACTCTGCCAAGCCCTTGAGAATGGCGAGTTCGTCCTCCTCGCTCCACAGCCTCTGAAACTTCTTCATTTGATCGCCGGACTTCTTCCCTTCCTCCATCTCTTCGTCGGAAGCGGCAGGGGAAGAAGAAGAATCGCCGGATTTCTTCTTTTTCTTCGCGACGTGGGCGTTGCTGTTCTCGGCGGCGCGTTTCACAGCCGGTTTGGGTGGCGCCGGAGAAGGTAGGGCCTTGGGCTTTTGGGCCTGGTCCATGGGCTTTGTCGCGAGAGGCTTTACCGCCTTCGCAGGAGTGGATTCAGTTTCCGACTCGGTCTCTGATTCGGATTCTGTTTCGGAATCAGAAGATGCGGATTCGGGATGAGGGTTCGTGGGAGCGGGTGGAGGGTTGGTTTTGGTGATGGGTGGTGGAAGATCGTCATCTTCTGCCTCTTCTCCAGAGGATTCTTCATCTTCTCCCGACGAAGCTTCTTCCTCTTCGTTTCCATGCCGCAGAGAAGATGGTTTTTGCGTTTCTTCTTCCTCGGAATCTGAAGAAGAAGCCGTGGGTGGCTCATCCAGAGGGGAAGGACGCTTCTGCTTCTGCGCCATGGACAGGAAGAATTAGGGTTAGTGAAAGTCTGATTAGGGTTTTGAAAACAACAATGAGAAATATAAAAGTAAATAAAACTGATAATGGAACTTTATATATATATATATAAATGACNATACAACACATGTAGCGAATGGTGATTTGAGGGTGCTACATCCGGTGTTCAAGGTTTATGGTCAGGTCACGTCGTTCTCTGGTCCCATTGTAACTGTGAAGGTGTTTGAGGACAACGTGTTGGTGAGGGAACTTCTTGAGACCAAAGGGGGAGGAAGAGTATTGGTCGTTGATGGAGGGGGAAGCTTGAGGTGTGCTTTGCTGGGAGGGAATTTGGCACAGATAGCACATAGCCATGGGTGGGCTGGAATTGTGGTGAATGGATGCGTTAGAGATGTGGATGAGATCAATGCATGTGGCATTGGCGTCAGAGCCTTGGCTTCTAATCCACTCAAATCCAACAAAAAAGGCACTGGGGAAAAGAATGTCCCTGTTTACGTTGGGGGAACATTTATTCGGGAAGGAGAATGGTTGTATGCAGACAATGACGGCATCCTCATATCAAGATTTGAGTTGTCAAACTAAAAAGTTAGTTAAGTCTTGTTGCCATTGGGATGCTTTATCAGATTTGAAGTCATGGTAAGTTTGATTTAATTTGTGATGGTAAATGGAAATGCTGTGTGGAAAGAATAAAACTTAATTTATTGCGTGAACTAAGTGTCTGTTTCTCTGTTAATTGTTTGGAGTTAGGGGATTCATATAGAAGTATGTCAATGGTTTTGACCAAACTTTCTAACCCAAGTATACACAGGATATCATCACATAATCAAACTAAAAACAAATTAGTTTATAAAGATTTCTTCGGATTGTGAACTTTCTTACTGTTCGAATGGTGGAAAAAGTATTACTTCGGAAAAAAATAGGAGCAGAATCATCCTTCGATATCTAAACAGGCTGAGTTCAATAGTATGTGTAAATAATACCATTACTCTCAATGAAACAGCAACTGCTATTTCAAATTACAACGATAGAACACTTAATCTAAACGTTATGAATCTTTCTCTATTTTCTGGCAGATGTTGCTGGCTAAGGAGAATGCCCTTCAAAGGCTTTTGCATTGTATCCATAATAAATTCTAACCGTTTTTTTGCTCATAAAGAGATCTTTCATCCTCTATTGGTGATTCAAGAATTTGAACAGATAAACTCAGTCCAACACTAAGGAGGCTACTGGTCGTTTTATAAAGGGCTCACAAGGAAGAGAGATAAAACCTGATACCACACAACCACCACTTCAAAATCTGATAGAAGTCATCCCTTTTAACCTTCGATTGGTCTGTCCATAGCAGCCTGCAACTCTACCCACAACCTTCTTAAGGATGGCAATGAAATTTAAATCTTCATACAACCTATCCAAACCAATCCCCAATGGCCCAATCTTAGTGGGATTTAAGGCAGCCCTCCATATAATCAAACCCAGAGTGCTAAATTTATATAGTGTAACTAAGACGTTGAATTAAAAAAATAATAATATTTTCTTGATTTAATCTATGAAAGGCAATACATAAATTCAGACAGCAGCTCATTGCTAAAAAGAAAATTTCTCTAAGGACGGACGGAAGTGACGATATTGAAATAAAACGCTTGTCTACCTCTTTCAACAACCTGTTAAAACACCTATTCAAAAAGGGTTGCGCTTAAAGAGATAAAAGGGTTTTGAATTCTTGTTCTGGAGTCCCCGATATTGAATAAGAAAGTTGGGAAACAGCTAAATGCTAAGAGAAATAACACATGAACCAAACTCACACACCGATCAGTTCTGAAAGAGTACTTCATGCAAATTTCTAAAATCATACTGAAGATTTTCCCAACAAAGAATGTAATGTTAGCAGGAAACGATCATACTCCTGCACTCATTACGGAAACAACTCTGCACTTTAGAGACATTAAGGAAACAGCTCTGCACTTAGAGACAACTCTTCAACATCAGTAGCCATTAAAATATTAGAAATTTACAAGTTAGGACAAGTTTTCTGGGTTGCTAGCTTTTCGATTGAAGATTGTAATTATTAATAATAGAATTGTACATGCTCAACTCAAAATAACGATGCTCGGCTGCTGTAATAAGATTTTCACTTTGATAAAAACATTATCACAGAAGGAGGATTGTCCTTATCATCCCAATGGAATTTAAAAAACAGAATTCATCATTACAGAGGAAATAACATTACCATAATAGGCCTATAATAAATCCCTTGATTCAAACTAATAAATCCTTGATTCCAACTAATGAATCGATGACCAACATGGAAAATACATAACAACCACAACAGGGAGAACAGTCTCTTAACGCAAAATGAACATCATGTCTTGAGCCACATTGGCACGTCACCAACAGGAATAAAAAAGATAATATCATAGTCAATCCACAAATACTTATGAATTTAGAGTAGACTAAACACCCAAAAGATCATACTACCATAAAAGATCCGTTTGAAAATAAACTCTGTTAAACACGAGAAACGATTGTCACAAAATATGCAAAGAACTTTAGAAGAACACTTTCATATAGCCAATAACTAAACAACATACTATACTACCGAATCAAGACTATACCATAGTCACAAAATTATAATGCGTAGGAGATAGATCCTCAGAACATGTGACACAGTACCAAAAACAGACAGCAAACAACATTGAGAATCCTAATGGTTGGACGACCGAAGTGCCTCAACTATCAATTTAGTTTGCTCCCCAATCAGTTCTGAGCGATTAGCAAAAAGTTCCAATTCAGTACGTTGTAATTTCTTCCACTTTGCCCTCAACTCTGTCCTCTTCGATTCACCAATCAATTCCAACCCCTTCTTCACATCCTCCTCGTCCAACCCACAAACACCCAGACCCTCTTTAAAGTGGGACAATGCATGCAAAAACATACTCACTTCACAATTAACAGTCTTTTGATCGATATGCATCTTTTCAGATTCCTTGAACTCCATGCGCGTCGCTGGCACCGTCTCCTGTTTCGGTTCAGGTTTAGTTTTCTTGGCAGAAGCCACATTCCTGCTACCGGTTTCCTTCTTCTTCGGACTCTTAGCAGCATTCCCGTTAGCCTTGGGCTTTTCCACTGCCCCATTGGCCACTCCACCATCTTGCTCACTTCCCCAAACCTTTTTCGACAATTCAAACGTTTTCTGATCGTGCGGCTTTGCAAATATAAGGCCATCAGCGCTATTCCCTCTCACTGCAGCGATCTCATACTTCTTCTTTAGTCTCCGAGCCTTCTCCTTCAGCTGGTTGCTGGTAACTTCCACATGCAGCGACTTCTTCAAGAAATCATGGAAAGCATTGCCACCCGCAAACTTAAGAGGGTCGTTCCCTGTTTTGGAGGTGAACTCGGCCAAGCCCTTGAGAATGGCGAGTTCGTCCTCCTCGCTCCACAGCCTCTGAAACTTCTTCATTTGATCGCCGGACTTCTTCCCTTCCTCCATCTCTTCGTCGGAAGCGGCAGGGGAAGAAGAAGAATCGCCGGATTTCTTCTTTTTCTTCGCGACGTGGGCGTTGCTGTTCTCGGCGGCGCGTTTCACAGCCGGTTTGGGTGGCGCCGGAGAAGGTAGGGCCTTGGGCTTTTGGGCCTGGTCCATGGGCTTTGTCGCGAGAGGCTTTACCGCCTTCGCAGGAGGGGATTCAGTTTCCGACTCGGTCTCTGATTCGGATTCTGTTTCGGAATCAGAAGATGCGGATTCGGGATGAGGGTTCGTGGGAGCGGGTGGAGGGTTGGTTTTGGTGATGGGTGGTGGAAGATCGTCATCTTCTGCCTCTTCTCCAGAGGATTCTTCATCTTCTCCCGACGAAGCTTCTTCCTCTTCGTTTCCATGCCGCAGAGAAGATGGTTTTTGCGTTTCTTCTTCCTCGGAATCTGAAGAAGAAGCCGTGGGTGGCTCATCCAGAGGGGAAGGACGCTTCTGCTTCTGCGCCATGGACAGGAAGAATTAGGGTTAGTGAAAGTCTGATTAGGGTTTTGAAAACAACAATGAGAAATATAAAAGTAAATAAAACTGATAATGGAACTTTATATATATATATATATAAATGACAAATAGAAAGAAAGGGTGAAAAGGGTATAAGTGAAAGGAAAAGGTCAACCGTTCAGCACACCAATAAAAGTTGGCCATATTTTACTTTATTCAAAAAGACCATTGAAATCTTTCTCTCACTACTTCTCAATATTTCAATTATTAAATTTATTATTTCTACATATTATATTAGGATTAAATATGTTTTATAGTCCCTATACTATTAAACGATTTTGGTTTTAGTTCCCTTTTCAAAAGTAAGGTACATTTTAGTCCTCCTCCTTAAATAAACTTTGATTTTAGTCCTCCAAAATTAACACTGTTAAAAATCAACTGATGTAGCTAACAATAGACTGACACGATTTTTTTTTCTTACGCTGAGTCAGTGTTTCTCATCTTTTCTCCATCTCTCTCCCTCGTCTCTTCCTTCCCATCTTCCACCCAACCTCCCCATCCTTGGAAATATGGTTGTAATCTACTAGCAAAGTTGTTAGCCCCAAGCATTTGGAGATTTCCTTAGGTAAATCTCCAGTTAGATTGTTTCCACCAAAGTCAAGCACTCTTAAAAAGGTAAGACGAGATAGATCGGCAGGAATGCGACCTACTATAGTGTTTGATCCAAGCTCAAGACTTTCAATATCAGAGCAACTTCCGATTTCCGAAGGGACTGCTGTTGTAACATCATTACCAGACAACGAAAGAATAAGCAAGGAATGAAGAAAGCCATAATTTTCAGGAATAAAACCGTAAAAGGTATTAGAATTGAGATTAATATATTGCCAGCTCATCAAACTACTAAATCCTTCAGGCACATCACCAGATAACTCATTGTAACTTGCAAATTAGGCAATCCCGAGAGCTCAAGCGGTAGTTCTCCAAAAAAATTTTGTTTGCTCAAGTCAAGCGTAGTTAGCTTGAAAGGATTCCCTTATGGTTGATAGGGAGGCTAGCACATCATGAACCCACAACCCTGAATTGGAGCATTTTCCTGTAGCAGTATCGACCAATGAAAAGTCCACTTTGACTAAAGCGAAGCAACGATTTTTTGTTGAGATCTCCAGACCCCACAACGAATAAAAGTTCAGAGACCGAAGGGCAACCAGTGACCTTCCTTCATGTACTGTCACAGAGCCACCTCTATGAGGTCGCCAACAGTGGATTCCGCCGTCATCAGCGCTCACACGGGCGAGAGGCCTCCAGTCACTTCTGCCTTCGGCGACGATGCTCGTGAGGGACTGGAGTTCGGAGGTCGTGCTCTGGCAACGTAGTTGAATGATGAACACGGCGGCCTGGCCATGGGCGGATGTCTTTCTCCATTGATCGGTAGTTGTCAGACTGGCCTTTACAGTCTCTCTCCTTCGAATTGAGTGGAAGATGGAAGGAAGAGACGAAGGAGAGAGAGAGAGGGAGAAAAGGTGAGAAACACTGACTCAGCACAAAAAAAAAATCGTGTGAGTCTACCGTTAGCTACATCAACTGGTTTTTAACGGTGTTAGTTTTAGATGACTAACATCAAAGTTTCCCTAAGAAAGATGACTAAAATGTATCTTACTTTGGAAGAGGAACTAAACCCAAAATCGCTTGATAATATAGAGACTAAAAACATATTTAACCCATTATATTATAATCAATATAATTCAAAAAAACCACAATCATATTTATCCTACATGGAATAATAAGATTATTTTTAATTATTGAAAATCTCGATATACATTTAAATTTATATATATAAAAGTAATAGAAGGAAAAGGAATAAGTAGTTAAAAATTAAATATATGAACAAAAACCAAAAATAAATAAATAAGAATCCAGATTTATAATATAAGAAGTGTATTATATATATAGATATTTATTTTATTCTAGCTAAAATTTATACTTGATTAAAAATATTTTTAAAATATTCACATCTTTCATTGGTTTTATTTCGTCATCGTATATCTATAATTGTATACACTATGTATGAATTTTTAATCTTTTTACACAGTCTCTCTCTACATATATATTTGGGTTTTTGTTTACTTGTTTGATTTCAATTATACACACAAGGGAGAGTAATTTGAGAATTAATAAGAATGCCGAGTGTTGTAATGTTGTTTATTTGATTAAAATTTATACAAATATTCTTAAAATAGTAACATGTTTCATAAATATATTAAAATCCATTGGAGAACAACAATAATAGAGAATACGTTTAAAAAGAAAACAATCAGAACAAATGTGTTTGTGAGAGACAGAGAAAAAGAAAGAAAAAACATAACCTAATGTCTAACCTTTATTTAATTGATTTTTAATTATCTTGTATTCAGATTGAGTAAAAATCTAAAAACTCTAATAAATATAGTCTAGCTCACATAATAATAAATTTTTACCTAGATACGATTTTCAATATTTTCGAGAAAAGTAAAAATACTGAGATTTAAAATATATTTTTCTAACTAGATTAAATAGTTAGTGTAAATAAATATAGTAAAAAGTACATCCCTAAAAACGACAATAGATTAAATGATAAAATATATGATAATAATAAGGTATAATTTTAAATGTTCCATAAAAAATAAAAGTATCTCTGACTGACTTCGAAATTTCCATTAGAGATATTTTCACACAAAAGCATTTTTGAAAAAGTAAGCATGTTTATTTCAATTAAGAAAATTACAAAACTTTAAAAACACGATTTATCAGACAATAATCACACACAACATCAATGTAATAAGTGATTATTCAATATTTTTTCACATAATAGTTAAGCAATAAAAATATTTAACTGATAATGTCAGTGGGTTGAACGTCAAACTCACTCCAAGCCCAAAACCTATTAATTTTGTCTGGTATTTCGTTGTACACCTCATTTTTTCTTCCTGTACCCCTAAAATCATATATTCTTATTTACCCCTAATAAGCACACTTGTCTCCATTGAAAAATATGCTATTAAACTTGACCCAAATAATAATCAGGTGTCATAGTACATGATTATATTAATATTTTCTGTAGTAATTTTTTTCCTAATTATATAATAAATTAGTAGACAAGGCAATGCAATTGGTAGTCGATTCACATCATTAGTCTGCCTGACAAATAACAGGATACTCTGAAACCTTTTTATATAATGAAATAGAATAAAATTTTATAGAAGATATTTGTGCTAAGAAAGTACGGTTCTTTTTATTTA